GGCGCTGCTCGGTCCTCCCGCGGAGAGAGGGCGCTGCTCGGTCCTCCTGGGAACTGATTTTTGTTGCGGGGGTATGGTGTGGAAAATAGATGCTCAGTCTTCCCACGGTCAGGGGGCGCTGTATGGTTGTTGTGTGCTAACGGCTGTACCTGAACACTGTTTAGTAAAATCCGCATCTCACTGAGCACCGGTTATTATGGATATGCCGCCTATACATAGGTGCTTGCAAGTGAGTACAGTCAGGGGAGTTTCCTAAAGTCTCAGCTGGGTCTCTCCGCCGGCGATATTGGTCTGCATCGCCCGAGGCCTGAGATCCGCTGCTTGGACCAGGGTCATACTCCCAATGGGGCCTCTTGGCTTTTTCCTGATGGCAACTGCTATGGAATTTTCTTTTTTTTAAATAATGACTTTGTAAGAGTCACAATAAGGATGTCCCAGTGGCATTATCGTTTAATTATTAATCTAGAGACCCTGGTAATATTCTGGTTCGAATGGCAGGTGGTGGAATTTCAGTTCAATGAATATCAGGAGTTAGGAGTTGACCATGAAACCAGTGTTGGAAAACTCCAATGTCTTCACTTGTATCCTTTAGGGGAGGGCTGCAGACCCACAGTAATGTGGTTGACACAGGGATGGACAATAAATACGGGTCTGGCCAGCGATGGCCACATCCCGTGAACGAATATTTTAAAAGAACAATGAATGCGGATACTCATGTTTAAAAAAAAAACTGGAAGAACTGCAGATGCTGGAAATCAGAATCAAAAACAGGAATTGATGGAAAATCTCAGCAGGTCAGGCAGCATCGGTGGAGAGAAATCAGAGTTGTCGTTTCGGGTCCAGTTCTGAAGAAGGGTCACTGGACCCGAAACATTTAACTCTTTCTCTCCACAGATGCTGGCACTCATTGGTATATTCCTGGATGCAAAGTGATGGACAGTTCCTCAATAATTAATGCAGTTTGTTCTCTCCGGCTCGTTCTGCTGTTTGCACTTGGTCTTCACCTGCTGGAGGTGCTCAGAACGGTTGCAGATCCTTCTCTGGTTTGGGTGTTCTTGGGCAAAGTACCATTTATCAGTGGGATTATTACAATTTTTCCAGAGCTTTCATGTTTAAACTTTAAAATGGAACATGTTTCTCTTCTGGGCTTGGTTGAGTAAAGTGGCCATTGCAACAGCAGAATATAAATATTATTGTTGAGAAATGGTGGTGGAGGAAGTCAAAACCAGCTCTAATTGATTGTTGATGCTGAATTGTCAACTTTAGAAGAGTGGAAAAGTTGAGGTGCCCCAGGGGCACTGCAACATATTTCCAGTGGGTTGGCTCAAGGTGTCAATGATGGAGGGAGGCTAAAGAGTAGACATGTCTGCTATCTCCTTCAGAGGCAGGATGTAGCTCGAGGACAAGTCTAAGCTGAGAAATCAAAACAGAGTTTCATATCACCAAGCAAGAAATTTGTAAGCATACTGTTGGAAACCACAGATTCCTTTCCCAAACAATAGATTAAAAGCTGCAAAAGGCATCATTCAAAGGAAGTTTTTGGTGTGCTGTATGTGAACTGTACTAAACCCATTTCCATCTTTTCGTGCAGCTTTTTGCTGAAAACGAGCACGTACAAAGGAAGTTGAAGAAACTTCGGCTGAAAAATGAACAGTTGGAAAGTGAGCTTTCAGAAGTCCAGGGAAAGCTGCAAATGCAACAGCTGATGAGGGACTTTGTAACTACCAGAGAGTAAGAGGCGTCCAAGAATAACTTACTTTACTTGCAGCTGCACAAACATACTGTAGGAGTCCTTAAGGACTGCTACATTACTGTATCTATCTGTGTATTAAACAACTCACATATATTATAACTCCAAAATTCAATTCAGGGGAAAGAAAGAAAATTGAATTGTACAACGTGCCATCTACATTCTAAAACTCCCATTCACAAAACTTGGTGTATGGTGGCACGGTGGTTATATTACTGGACTAGAGATACTGACTAATGAGCTAGGAATGTAACTTCAAGTCGAACCACTTCAGTTGAGGAATTTAAATTCAATTATTTAAATACATTTTGGAATAAAAAGCCAGTATCAGTAACAGTTGTAAGTAGAGATAACACAGTGTGGAGCTGGAGGAACACAGCAGGTCAGGCAGCATCAGAGGAGCAAGAAAGCTGACATTTCGGGTCGGGACCCCAGTATCAGTAATGGTGATCAAAATTGTCATTAAAGTCCATCTAACTCACTTATATCTTTTAGGGAAGTAAATCAGTCACCCTACCTATGAGACTTCAGGACCATAGTACTATAATGTGATGGATTCTTAACTGCCTTGTGAAATTGTCAATCAGATCATTCAGTTGTAATCAGAAAGGTGGTTCCTCTCTACTATACTTTCAAGAGTAGTTTGCTATACATGCTGGCCTTGCCAGCTATGCCCACAGCCACTGAATAAATTTTTAATTCATCTTGCATTGATTGTTGGCTGGATCAACAAGTTATTTTTTAATTGTACCTCATGCTTTTATATTCTTGGTTGGTTTAAATGACATTTTGTTGACATCACCTCTCATCTAGAAATTTAAATAATTTTTTTTTGCAATTAATGTTGAGCAGTATCTACCTTTTAAAAGAGTTTCAACCCTTTTGTGAAATTGGTACGTAGCGAAATAGAGAATCATCTCTCAGCTTTTTCTTTGCCCAATATAATAGGAATAGACCATGAATTAATACCTATACAGGAATAGGAGGATATACCACACTAGGTTGTATTTGTGCATTAGTTGTTATTTATTTACAAAGTGTTAATGGAAAAAGGCTGGGTATATGTTTGTCCTAATCCTTGTTGGGTTTAATTGGATGATGTAGAAGACATTACAAAACAAATACTATCACCATTTTGAATGTTTTCTAAGTGCTCAAATACAGACAGAACCACAACCATGGCACAAAGGAGGTGTTAAAGAAGGCAGTGTTTCAAAGGCAGATGAAAGGAGCAAGTAAGTATTTTCCTTGCCATTTTCAAAAGTATTTGCATATTAAGCAGAAGGACTCAACAAAACATTGCCTTAAATCGAGCGAATAAAGATAAGTGATCTACAAGAGCCAGGAATAGTTTTCTCTTTAAAGCAGGTAGATTAGTACAGGGTTATGATAATTATTCAGTCCACATTCAGGTCAGCATTTCTTTTACGTGCCCCCACCAAGAACTGTTACCTTGTCCCCACTGACCTTGGAAGAAATTATACATATGAAATATCTGAATAAAATACAGTGATAATTTGTTCTATGTTGATCTCTGAACCTGCAAGAAACTTGTGAAGCAAAGGCCAAACCTTGAAGGAGTTAATGTTGATTGTCACAAAATAAATGCAAAATGATCTGGATTCATGTAAAGTCCACAGTGAGAAGTTACTTGTTTCATGCGAATAGTAATTGAAAAAGGAAATGGTTATATTTACTGTCTGCATAAATATAAAGAAGACAGCATATTGGTTGGATAGCGAAAGCGAGTTGCATTTTTCAAGACTGTTTGTGGATGTGGGTGTCTGAAGTCAACATTTTCTAAAAGTTGAGAAGTCATCTTTAGAAATGTTTTGACAGTGTTGTGCAATATAATTTATATTGTAGCCTGCTAATGCAGTTTCTCTGCCTTGTCAAGAATTGTGAAACAAATATGCAATCATAATCGGAGAGGTTATTGGTTAGGTCTCAGAGTAATATCATGAAATTCAGTTCGATTATTTTTCTATCAACAAGTAAATTGTAAGAATTCTACATGTGTCCTGGCTTTTAATCTCACTTTCAAATGCAACAAGGTCAGATAGGAATGGAAGCTGGAAGTTCCTAGTATCCTCCCTGTCATTCTGGCACCACCACCACCACCACTCTCCCAGCCACCCCCACCACCCACCCCCACCGTATCCGCTCAGTTGAATCCCCTCAGAAGCTTGTGTTCCAATAAGATCACTTCTCATTCAAACAAACACCATTGGATACAGGCCCTGTCAGTTCAGTCTTTCTTTACAAGATAAACCCTTCATCCCAGGACTGAATTGAGGAGCTGTTTCTCAACTACCACTATTGCAATTGTCTTTTTTCAAATAAGGAGAGCAAAGATAGTATGATCTTTAACCAGTGAAAGAATCAAGGGTTTTGGGGGAAAAGGCAGTAAGTGCTGTTGAGGACTATCAGGTCAGCTATGATCTCATTAAATGGCAAAGCAGACATGATGGGCTGAATTGCCTGCTTCTGCTCCTACATCTTATGGTCTTAAACTGTACCGGGTACTCCAGAAACCAATCAAATGTTTGCTTTTCTAATCCCTTGCTATACCAACATACTAACTTTATGATTCATGTACCAAGATACCCAGATGCGTCTGCCCCATCAAAGTCTGCAACCTGTTTCGATTTCAATAGTATTTTACTTTTCTATTCTTTCACCAAAATGGAGAAGTTCATATTTTCCCACATGATACACCATCTGCAATTTGCCCCACTCACTTAAACTGTCTGTATCTGTTTACAGACTCTCTGCTTCCTCTGGACTACTTGCTTTCATACCTTTCTTGGTACTGTTGTCAAATTTATACCTTTTGTCCTATACCTTTTGTCACTTTTTTAAATTCATTCACGTAACGAGTGTTTTGCTGCCCAGGGCAGCATTTAGTGCCCATCCGTAATTTGCCCACAGGGCAGTTAAGAGTCAACCGTATTGCTGTGGGTCTGGACTTAAAGGACATTAATGAACCAGGTGGGATTTTCTGGCAATCAACAATGGATTCACAGTCATAGAGCTGTACAGCATGGAAACAGACTCTGCGGTCCAACTCGTCCATGCTGAATTGATATCCTAAATTAATCCAGTCCCATTTGCCAGGGTTTGGCCTGTATCCCTCTAAGCCCTTCCTATTCGTGTACCCATCCAGATGCCTTTCAAATATTGTCATTGTACCAGCCTCCATTCACTTCTACTGGCAGCTCGTTCCATACACACACCACCCTTTGCGTGAAAAAGTTGCCCTCATCATTAAGCTCTTAATTCCAGATCCTTTTTTTTTTAATTAAATTCAAGTTTCATCATCTGCTGTGGCAGCATTTGAACCTAGGTCCCCACATATTACCTAGGTCTCTGGATTAATAGTCCAGTGATAATACCACTAGGCCATCACCTCCCCTAATCTAAGGTATTGATATTGGTTACAAATAGTTGGTGGTCCAATGATCTCATTGGCACTCTGTCAGCCAATTGTAACTAATGGAGTGCCTACTATCTGTTTTCTGTTACCTAACCATTCTTTAATCCATGATGCTATCTTACCCATTACACCATATAATGTGGCACCTTATCAAATACCATTTTAAAATCCCAACACAACTTATTCTTATGATCTTGTTTATCTGCCTTGCTTGTTACTTTCTTAACCATGTTTGTTATGCCCCTATGTTCTTTCCAAGTTTTTTTGTTTTAAGCATTTTAGTATGCAGAAAGAAATTGCACTGCGTGGTCTCTCAATAATGAGCTCCCAGAGGAAGTAGTGGAGGCTGGTACAATTACAACCTTTAAAAGGCATCTGGATGGGTATATAAATAGGAACAGTTTAGAGGGATATGGGCAAAATGCTGGCAAATGGGACTAGATTTATTTAGGATACCTGGTCGACATGGACGAGTTGGACCGAAGGGCCTCTTTCCGTGCTGTATATCTCTATGACTCTTATAGTGTTACGTAACTGAATTCATATATAACTACATTGAAGAGCACTGACTTCTTTAGGGAACTATAGCACCAATTCTGTGCCGCGAGCATTTCAAAGCAGCAGGGAGGTGAAGAATGAATTATTTGCTTTTGCTCATGATGGTTGAGCAAGGTAGATCATGGTGGCCGGTGAGCTACCAACAGTATGAATGTACCACAGCAGCTTTAGGATGCACCCAAACTCTGGGAGCAGACATAGTGGATTTAAACTTTTTTAAGTCTGTCAATTTGTTGGTGATTCACTAATCTCCTGTTACTCCTACCCAGTGTGACTTGTATGTGACATCATTTTCATATTACATGGTTGATTCTTAATGCCCTGAGGAATGCATTATTTCAGAAATAGTGATTAAATATCATTTCTTTATTTAAATAGTCGACTGCTACAGATGTATAATGCTCTACAAAAACGTTACGAAAAAGAAATTAAAACCAACAAGGAGCAGAGTGAAATCATCTCTAATCTCACTGTGAGTTCAACATTTTTGTATCACAACTGTATCATGTTTTATTCTTTATCAAGTGGATGTCTATACCTGAAATATTGTCAGCTTGGGATGATATGGAATCGACAGCCCTTTACCTGTAAGAAGGTTGAAGACAGATGCTGAATTTCACAGAATCTCAGAAGTATTATGGCATAGAAGGAGACCGTTCAGCCCATCATGTCTGCACCAGCTCTTCAAATGAGCATCATTCCCTGTTGTGAATTTCCGGCTTTTCCCTGCATATTCTTGCATGTTATTTCTATCCTAATAATCATCCAATACCCTCTTGAATGACTCAGCTGATCTAATTTGAAGTAAAACAAGAATGTAAGCCTTATGACAGCCTTTTTTATTTTGATCGTGCGTAGAAAATAGTTCTGTTCAAGGACATGTTTGACCGTTGGCTGAATTTAGAGATGGTATTTATTTTTCTCTATGTGTAATGGGAGTCGCGTGGAAAAAGAATGGGTTGAAATCGTAATTTCCAAACATTTATATGTTTGCTTTGTGAGACGTCGAGACGGTTTTTATCTGATATATGTAAACAACAATAACAACAGTGTTCATTTATATGCCACTGTTAACATAGTAAAATCTCCCAAGGTGCTTCACACAAGTACTATCGAACAAAATTTGGCACTGAACCACAAGTAGATGGATTAGATCAAAGATGTCGTTTTAAGGAGTGAGTTAAACACTCACTGTCACATCTGCTTGTTTAACTCACTGCCACATCTCTTCCGTTATGACTCCTTGAAGAAGTTTGCTCCTCTCTCTGACAGGATTTCCATTCTGACCTTTTCGTTCCCCATTGTTACTTTGCTTTTTTCTCGTAGTATTTAACATAGTTTTAAGGAGTGTCATACTGGATGAAAGTGTGCAGCAGAGGGTTAGGGAGGGAATGTGAGGACTGAGAGTCTGTTGGAGGCCATTATAAAGGATGTAGCAGCGCATTTAAAAATACATAAGCAGAGTCAGCATGGCCTTATGAAGGGAGATCATACCTGACATTTACTAGAGTTCTTTGAGGAGATAACAAGCAGGATAGAGAAAGGGAAGGCAATGGATGTAATACACTTGGAATTTGATAAGGTGCCACACATTAGGCTACTTAATAAGAGAAGAGCCCATGGTGTTGGACGTAATGTTTTAACATAGAGAGGATTGGCTAACTATAGAGACAGAGAGTTGAGTTAAGGGGAGCATTTTCAGGAATGGCAACCTGTAACTAATGGTGTGCTACAAGAATCAGTGCTGGTGCCACAATTATTTACAGTATATAGTAATGACTTGGATGAGAAATGTGAACGTACTATAGCCAGTTTTGCAGATGACAGAAAAATAGGTGGGAGGATGACACAAAGGATAATGTAGACTGGTTAGGTGAGTAGGCAAAACCTTGGCAGATGGAATATATTGTGGATAAATGTGAGGTTATGCACTTTGGCAGGAGGCATAGAGGAACTGAATATTATTTAAATGGAGAAAGACTGGAGAAAGCTACAGAAAGAGGGATTTGAGAGTCCTCATCCATGAATCACAAAAAGCTGTTGTCCAAGTTCATTGGGTAATAGGAAGGCAAATGGCATATTGGCCTTTATTTCAAAGGAAATGGAGTTTAAAAGTAGGGAGGTTTTGATAAAACTATTCAAGGCACTGGGTCAGATCCCAGCTGGAATACTGTGAACAATTTTAGAACCCTTATCTATGGAAACATATACTGGCGTTGGGGACAGTCCATAGTAGGTTCACTTTGCTGGTGTGGAAGGACTGTCTGATGAGGAGAGGTTAAGTAGATTGGACCTGTGTGTGATGGAACGTAGAAGAATGAGAAGCGATCTTAATAAAACATAGAAGATTCTTACAGGACTTCACAGACTAAGTGCAGAAAGGTTGTTTCCCCTTCTAGTAGTGAGATCATAATCTGAGAATAGGAGGTTGCACGTTTAAGATAGAGATGAAGAGGAATTTCTTTTCTCAGTGGATAGTGAGTCTGTGGAATTCTTTACTGCAGAGGGTTTTTAAGGCTGGGGCACTAATTATTTTCAAGATTGCGATAGACAGATTGTTAATCAGTAAGGGAATCAAGGGTTAATGGGAAAAGGCAGGAGAGTGAGGTTGAGGATTATTGGATCAACCATGATCTCATTGAAAGGCAGCATGAACTTGAGCTGAATGGTGTACATCTGGTCTTACATCTTATGGTCTTATTATGGTCTAATAGTTTAGCATCTCAGCAGGTGAGGATACGGTCAGCAATAGTGCAACAATTACAATCAAGTATAAGAGGCCAGAATTGGAAGGCCACTGATATCCTGAGAGGCCTGGAGCAGTACAAAAATAGGGTGGGTCAAGCGATGATGGTGTTTGAAGGCAAGGATGAGAGTTTTAAAATGGAGACATTGACAGTCTGGGAGCCAGCGTCGATCATTGAGCACAAAAGTGATGGGCAATGTTTCCTGTATGCTGTGTGTGTGGCTGCACATCATACAAAATCCCAGTGTACACTCCCCTCATCCTCCACTGTATGACTTCTGCTCTGTTTAAATATTATTGTGCAAACTATATGGACATCTGTGCAAGAACAACAAAAGTAGACGCAACATTAGTGCTGGGGCCTTTTTGGAAATTAGAATACCGGCATCAAAGGTTAGGATGACGTGGCTGGAAGATGACAGGTGAGTCAGGATTGTAATGGAGCAGTCAAATCTAGGCCTAACAAAAATGTGGATGAGAATTTTAGTATCATATAAACTAAGGTGGAGGTGAAGTCAGGAATGTTATGGAGTTGGAAGAGAGCGGTCTTACTAGCGGCATAGATAGTCAAGTATGGCACCAAGCTGCACCCGATCTAGTTCAGCCTCAGACGGTTGCCAGGGATGGAGTTGCTGGAAAGACAGTGGAGTTTGTGGTGGAGACTGAAGACACTATTTCCTTCGCTATAATCTTTCTCGACCAAATCTACAGGATGAGCAGAGATTTAGGCAGAGATTTTCTTTAATAGACATTGGGAAGACTGACTTTTGTCTTTGCTGCACAAAGTTAGTGGTTAGTGAGGTTTTACATTTGTTCCTTCTGCTGCCAACTCAGGTAATTGTTGTTCACCTTAAGTTTTTCTGAACTTTTGGACGTCTTTGAACAGTGTTGTTTACTACTTTCTTTTATAACATGCGACTATTAGAGTAACCTTTAGATTGTAAGTGATAGTCTATCCTGACCTTTGCTCTTGCTACTATTAGCTGTTCATGTTGAAGTACTATATTTAGGTTCAACGTCACAGATTGTTCCAGTAAACTCTCAGTTAATAACAGCTTCAGTTTATGGTGCACTTTTAATGTAGTCAAATGTCCCAAGGTATTTCACTGGAGTGTTTTCAAAGAAAGTTTACACTGAGATACTAGGTAGGACGTGATCAAAAGCTTCGTCAAAGAGGTAAGGTTTAAAGAGTATCATTAAAGAAGAGGGAGAAACAGAAAAGTTTAGGAAGATAATTCCAGAGTTTATGGCCAAGAAATTGAATCTAAACTAAATTAACACTGTTATTAGATAATAGCCAAGAAGATAAACCTCTGGACAGTTGAACACTAACCAGATAAATGAACTGTGTCAAAGGTAAATAATGACGCTTATTTTCAATCTTCAGCGCGGAGAAATGAAAAACCATTCTCCAGCTCTCAGACTAAACTGTAACAGAATCTCAGTCTCTGAATAAACCTTTGCTAGAATTTATTGTTGACTGCACCACAGTGTTCCTATTCTACTCTCAGTACTTTCAGAATAATTGTGACAGCCTCAGACTATTGAAGTTCCTTTTAAGACACAAAGATTTTTTTATTTAAATGCATCTGTTGATTTCAACCCTGGTTGCTGATCAGGCATATATTGGAAAATGCACAAAAGATGTTTATATACGTAAATTTAACGTCTTGGCACCTGAACGTTTACTGTAAAAATGTTTCAAAAGCCATAGGCCAGACAAACATGTATCATGTTACAATTCATATATATGTGTACGTGACATTATCTGAACCTGAAAATAGTTTACATCCAAAAATCTGCATGTCTTTGTGATTTTAATTCAGAGTGTGCTGCATCCCAAGAAAAATAGTATGATACACAATATACAAACACTTCTCTTTCATTGCTATTATAGTTTCACTTGTTCTTACAGTTTGGACATGTAAAATATTTTGGTTCCTCACTCTTGCGTCTTCCAGATGAACATTCATGAGTTAGAATTACAGCTTGTAAGGTCAAAACAAAGGATTCAGCAGCTGGAGCACACTCCCACAGTGAGGAGGCGAAGAACTCCAACACCAGAGCATGGCACCACGTCTCTCAAACACAAGGCTGGTGGCAGGAAATGCTGCTCACCTGACTGTATCCATGCTGGTGAGGCTTTAACTGATATTTTTTCTTTTTATGGATGTTAACTTGTATAGAGAGCTAGATCCTCATTCACTGGCTTTTGTGACCTTTATCTCTGGGTGAACTACTGAAAAATGTTTTAACTGTGAGGAGCATGAAATATCACAGACTGGGCTCTCTTGCTGACTTGGCCTAACAACATCCCTACTTTCTAGCGGCATCATTTGATTGGTGATAAGGAGTGAGAATACTATCTGGGAATTCCACGTCTCCCACCACCCGTCCCTACCTCAATCTTTTGAGGCAGTGAGGCTGTTTGTGACACCCCATTATCACTCCGGTTGAGATCAGCAAACTCAGTATACACCACAGATTGAGCCTTTAACCACTTCGAATTATACAGCATGGAAACAGACCCTTCAGTCCCAACTCATTCGCGCAGACCAGACATCCCAATCTGACCTAGTCCCATTTGCCAGCATTTGGCCCATATCCTTCTGGATCCTTCTTATTCATATATCCATCAGGATGCCTTTTAAATGTTGTAACTGTACCTGCCTCCACTGCTTGGTCTAACAGCTCATTCCATACACGCATCATCCTCTGTGTGGAAAAGGTTACCCTCAGGAGCACATTAATTGGCTGAACTAGCTGAATTGAGAATTTAGAAAGGCACACCGTGCAATTTGTGCAGCCTTGAAGTTTGATTTACATTCAGTGAAAACAAACAAATGGTAATTGTTCAGCCATCTAGAATCAATCCTGTAGAACATAGAGTCATAGAGATCTACAGCACCAAAAAAGCTCTTTGAGTCATCAAGTCTGGACCAGTCAGATACAAGAACCTAACTATACTAATCCCATTTTCCAGCGCTTGACCCATAGCCTTGCATGCCTTGTCACTGCAAGTACGCATCTAAGTACCTCTTTAATGTTATGAGCTCTCTGCCTCTCCAATTCTTACTGGCAGTGAGTTCCACATTCCCACCACCCTCTGGGTGGAAAAAAATTTTCCTCATGTCCCTCTAAACCTCATGCTCCTTACCTTAAACCTATGGCCTCTTGTCAATTTTCCCTCCTGTTTACGTATCTGTGCCCCTCATAATTTTATACAAGTCAATCAAGTCTCCCCTCGGTCTCCTCTACTCCAAGGAAAACAACCTCAGTCTATCCAAACTCTCCTTTAGAACTAAAATTCTTCAGCCGAAAAAACATATCCTGGGAAATCTCCTTTGCACCCTTTCCAATACTGTCATATCTCTGCTATAATGTGTATTATTGTGCAGCCCACATTAATCTAGTTGTGGCCTAACCAACATTTTACATGTTTCAGATAACTTCCTTGCTCTTAAACTCTATGCTTCAGCGAGTAAAAGGCAAAGTATTCCATATGCTTGCTTAACCACTTTATCTCCCTGTCCCACTAAATTAAGGATTAAGGGACCAGTGGGTATGCACGCCAAGGTTCTTCTGATTACTGAGCTCCCCAGGGTCTTGCTGTTCTTCATGCATTCCCTTGCCTTGTTTGTCCTACCCAAGTGCACCAGAGAGGAAGTGAAAATTATTGTCATCTCCCCTGCCATTACCTCCCTTGTCTCATTCAATAGCCTAGAACACATTTCATCTGGCCCTGGAAATTTATCTACCTTTTTGCCTGCTAGACCACTAAACATGGAGTGAGGTGAGGGGAGTTGATAAGGGAATTTAATGAGGGCTGTTAGGTTCATTCTGCCTTTACCTGCTGTCTGAATGATCATTATGCATTGACATTCTCCTGCTTTTTCTCTATAACACTGCATATCGTTTAGATTTGAGTAATCATCAACCACCGTATGAGCAGAAGTAAGCTATTCAGCCTATCGAGTCTGCTCCACCAATCAGTGAGATCATGACTGATCTGATAATCTGCAACTCCACTTTCTTACCTTTTCCCATAACCCTTGATGATTAAAAATGTATCTATCTCAGCTTTGAATTTGAACCAGCCTCTACATCACTCTGTGTGAAAGAATTCCATATGTTCACTACCCTCAGAGAAGAAATTACTCTGCAAATGCCTCAGTTGAGCCTGTCTCCATCATACTTCCTGGCTGTCTGTTGCAGACTCTTATCTATTCACTGTATGAAAAAGTGGTTTCTCATGTCATATTTGCTTCTTTTACAAATGCTCTTATATCTGTGTTCACTCATTTTCAAACCTTTCATGAGAGGGAATAGGTTTTCCTTATGTACCCTAAGTAGCCCCCAACTTCTCCAGACATCCTGACTGAAGTGTATCATCCCTGGAACCATTGTAGTAAGCCTGTTCTCCACGCCCTCCAATATATTCACATCCTTCCTAAGGTGGAGCACCCAGAATGTTATTTTATCTGTTCCTGGGGTATAGCTGTCTCTGGCTAGGCCAGCATTTATTGCCCATTCCTAATTGCTCAGAGGTCAGTTCAGAGTCAAACCACATTGCTGTAGAAATGGTATACAGAATGCTTCAGTTGCAATCTAACCATTGTCTTATGCAAGTTCCGCATAAAGAGTATTACATAATTCCTCACTTACCAAATAATTTAACAAAATTCCAGAATACATATCCATTTCTAAATTACCTTGTTTCACTTTTGAATGGTGTAGTCTATTAAAAGACTGTCTGCATCACTTAGATATTAATATCGCATTCCATCTTACAGCTCTGATAATCTTAACCTTTCACATAAACAGTTTAGAAATTAATATGGATTACACATTTACGCTAATTTCTTATCTGAACTAAATTTGTCATAGCAGAGGGCCAAAGTGGTCTGATTTTGATATTCAGACAAATTACCTTAGGGGGTCTTGCTTGGGTTACACTCTTCTGTTTCATAACATTAGTTCAGAGGGAATCCTGTGTGTGGATTAATTTAAAAAAATGAAATTTCAGCAAAACAATTAAAAGAGGGACTATTAAAACAGGCTGGTTTAACAAGTTACACTTTCCATGTTTGCAATCCTATCATTTCCTTTTAATATTTGTGGTTCTCTATAGAGTTGTTGTTGGAGATAGAAAGACTGCAAAAGGACAAGAACAAGCTGATAAAAGAGAAAAGGAATCTGAAAAACGAGCTAGCTGGATTAGACAAGGTATTGTTTTACTAGTGATTTGTTGTAAGCATTATTTAGTTGAGCAGTCGTCTTCAACTGGTTATGTATTTCATTGATACCCTGTCTTATGTGGCCATTGCCACACTACTTCATGGAGACATACTGTGAGGGGCTCTTGTGGCACAGTGGTAGTGTCCCTACCTTTGAGCCAGGAGTCCTGGGTTCAAGTCCTCCCTGCTCCAAAGGCATGTCATGACATATCAGAGCAGGTTGATTGGAAAATATCTAGATATGCTATAAGGGCCTCTTGTGGTGCAGTGCTGGTAACCCTTCCTGCTCCAGAGATGTGTAATAACATCTCTAAAGGTTGATGAAGAAGATATTTAACTTGAGGAACTCCTGCAGTGATACGCTAGGACTGAGACCATTGGCTTTGAACAACCACAGGCATCTTCTGCAGTAAATCAGAAATTATTGAACTGATGAGGATGTTCACCCTTACACTCTTAATTTAAAACAAAAAATTGTCAAGAAGTGTCCCCACCCTTGAGCCAAGAGGCCAGCATTCAAATGTCACCTGCACCAGATATAATAACATCTCCGAACAGGTTGGTTAAAAACTATCTATAAATGTCAGTATTTCATTGCATTCAGTGGGTGATGATTAGTTTGGCTTGAGAATTTGCTCCCAAACCATTTACAATTTATGATCAAATTCCAATGCACGTTGATTCCAATGCTTTTTAACTTGTATTCGAACAAAGGTTATGTGGCTTCAAGGTACAGTTCAATTGAATGTTCAAAACTAAATTAGCTAGTATCAGAGGTACTTTATTGTTACTTTATGTTAAGAGTAATAAACATGTTAAGACATACATTTTAAATGTGCTTTCTGGATTATTACAGTTCTTAGACTAATTTGATTATTATTTGTGTAATGCAGGGTTTCTTTGAAGAAATTGAAGATTTAAAATATGCTCTGCAAGAATCTGCTAAACTGAATAAAGAGTATGAAAAATGTCTACGGACAATGTGTGAAAAATGTGGCCTTCCGTTTCCAGAAACATTATGTCCAGTAGCCACGAAATGAGAAAAGTAATGAATGAGACCAACACTTTTTTTCTTATGTACAAACATGTTTAGAATGTGTCATTTTTTTAAAAGCAAGGACCTGGAGTTGCTGTTCACTTGCACTGTTTCCTTTTTGGTGCAATTCACTCAACAGATGCATAACCAGTACAAAAGATCATGAAATGTTAGGTATGAGCTGTGATCAGAAACCAGTCCTGTTAAGAAATCTAGCCGTGCCCTTGATGAGTTAATTACCAGTGGGAACTGATCAAACCATACCAACCTACCAATCTTAAATGCATTAAGGGAAATATAATCATTTAAAACCCTACCCAAATGCACTGCTTGGTTCATGGTAGGTTTCGCATTCAGCAATACTGAAATTAATTTGAGAAGAAACTGGGCATGATTTACCCTAGAATTAACATTTGCATCTAAATTGGAGACCATTCCATTGCATTTAAAGAGCACACCATATTGTTTTTTTGGGTATGTTATGTAATATAGTGACGGAAAAACAATTGACACCAATGGAAGTCTGCTTGTTTAAGCTGGGCTGCAAGTGAGCATCAAGCAAAAACAAAATCTTTTTTCCATATTGGAGGGATGAAATATTAATTGGACTGTTCACCATGTTATGGCTGGGTTCCTCCTGGAAACATTTTCAAAGACCCTGTGACCAATTACTTTTCCACCCTCTTGCAGGGAAATATGTGCGGGATCCAAGCTGTGTCTGTTTTATAGAAAACAGCATTATTTACTTAGCCAGAAAGAGTCAGTAGAATCTATGGTAAAATGGCCAAAATTGCAGCAGTCTCTTGATAAATGGATTATTCCAGCAGCAAAATGCAGAGAGTGGAGGATAGTTACATAATACAAATGTTTTGTAATCCCAGTCATGTACGCAGGATAGGCTGCAAGAGTGATCGAGTAGAGAATTACCTATATGATATCCCTATATTCAGTCTGAAGAAAATGTTCAAAAAATTTTATTTTTTTTAAATAAAATCGTTAAGTAATTATTTGTTAAGTAATTTTAAGTTTTATGTTGGAAACACATTATTTCATATGTTTCTGTGTAAATAGTAGTTGAAATAGTCAACTTCATCTTTCAGTGTTCTCAACATCACCCACCCTCTAACCCCAGTTTAAAGATGAAAAAAGATGTCAAACATTTAAGAATGGCCAGGGCTGTGACCTGTTAGCAGGCATTTCCACCTTTCTATAAACAAGACAGAATTTGAATTTTTATAGCACCTTCACAACCTCAGATGTCTATTTTAAAGCATAGTCACAGTTGTAAAATATAGAAAATGCAAGCAATTTGTTTATAACAAGGTCTCATGAAAGCACAATAAGACAACTGACCTGATAAGACCTCAATAAGATTATAGTTCTGAAGAAGAGTTATACTTGATTCAAAACACTAACTCTCTTTCTGTCTCCACAGCTGCTGCCAGACCCTCCTGAATTTCTCCAGCATTGCCTGTATAACTAAGCTAATGATCTGTTTTAATATTGTTAACTTAGAGAAGAATGTGAGTTGGGAAAACTTCCCTGCTGTACAGGAGTGTTTACATTCATTCCAGAGGAGAAGATGGATAATAACTCAGTTTAATGCCTTATCTAGAATGATGGCACCTGTAACAGTGCAGCACTTACTCAGGTCTGCACTGCTATGCCAGGATAGATTATATACAAATTCATCTGATATGAGATTGAACCCATAGCCTTCTGACTGAAAGAGTGCTGCCACCAATACCTTACTGCGATATTATCCACAGCACTTGGCTTCCATTTCACTTTGCAACAATTTTGTGGCTGAGATTGCATTTTTAGTCAACCTGTTCAGAGGTGTGATGACACATGTCTGAAGCAGGTACGACTTCAACCCAGGCCTTCTGGCTCAGAGGTAGGGACTCAACCACAGGCTCTTGAGATGCAGTGATAAAGATTGATAGATATTCTCTAAACAACCTGTTCAGGGATGTTATTACGTACCTTTGGAGCAGGTGGGACTTTAACCCAGGCCTCCTGGCCTAGAGACAGGGACGCTGTTACTGTGTCACAAGACCCTGTGGCTAAGATTGATCACTCAATAGAATAATAGGTCAAATGTGTTGGCTTTCAGCCTTTGTGGTTGCACTTGTGTTCCAACACACCGTGTGATTTGAACTGGCTACATGATAATTATGGTATTATTGAAGAAATAATGGTATGGACACGGAAGTTGTTTCAATTTTGTAAATAGAAAATGGTTATTAGCAGTGAGTTCAGAACATGTTCTGGTAAAAAAAGTTCTTCAGCTGTGTGTTTGTTGCTTTGTTTCTTAATTTGATTCCATAACCGGTAGATGTAGTGCAATTGGATGTTCAGAAGGCACTCGATAAGGTCCCACATAAAAGATTACAAGATGAGAGTTCATGGTATTAGGGTTAATGTTTGGTGAGATGTTAAACTAAAACATTGTCAACTGTCCCCGGTGGATGTAAGAAATTCCACTACACAATTGATGAATAGCTGCTGATTTCTCTGTGTATTCTGGCCAGGATTTATCTTCCTACTAGCAACTTTCTTTCTAAGGTTCTTGAGTAGATTCGTACCTAGGGTTGTGGATGCTGTGGTTGGTTCACTCGCCAAGCAACTATTTCTTTGATTGTAATCTGGGGATTTTGCTCTGCACAATCTGGCTGCTATTTCTATACTTTATTAAGCACTTTAATGAGGTGCAAAGTGTGTGTTGTAACATTGTAAGTTAATGTAAGTTTATCAAAAAGAATGCTAAAATGGTGTTTTCATGTGTCTAGTTTCTCATAGTTGTCCGTGAAACGGAAATCATGTTTAAACAATTTATTAGTGTTCTCTGTAGATTAACAAGCAAGGTGCATTAGTAGGCACTAGCAGCTGCAATATATTTGGACTTCCATAGGGCATTTGAGAAGGTGTCGTATATACAAAAGAATACTGATTCAAGCTCAGGGTTTTGGAGTAAGATATTAACATGGTTAGAGTGTTGATCAACTAACAGGAAACAAAGATTAGCAATAATTGGATCATGTTCAGCTCAGTAATCTGTTAACTACAGCAGGGGTAAGTGGTGGGTCATCAAATATTTACTATCTATGTTAATGACCAACTGCATTGTTGTCAAATTTGCTAACAATACAAAAGAGGGAGGAAAACAAGTTTTAAGTCATCACAAAGAGACTGCAAAGGGATAAAAATGGGTTTAAGTCAATGGGCAAAAAAATTGGCAGATGGTATGTGATGTGAGAAGAGACAGATTGCCCACTTTGGAAGCAAGAATAGAAAAGCAGTATGGCAAGAAATCTGGGTATCCTCATTACATGATTCACAAAACATCAGCATGCAGGAACTGCAAGTATTTTGGTAGCCAAAATGAATAAAGGTAGCCTTTATTGCAAGCAGAAATGGAGTATAAAAGTAGAGAGTATTGTTATAACTGTATAGGAAATTGGTGAGACTGCACTGAGAGTATGCTATGCAGGCCAAACCTGCATAAGGGACATACTTGCATTGGAGATAGTTCACAGAAGATTTATTAGGTATATCCTGAGACGATGGGGGATGCCTTATGGAAGATTTAAAAAAAAGGGAGCCAGTACTCATGGGTGTATAGTAGAGTGAAAGGTGATCTTATTAAAACAAAAACGTTCTGAGAGGTCTTCATGAGGTAGTCGCTGAGAGAATGATTCCTTTTACGTGGGAGTCTAGAACCATGTGGCTCTATATCACAACAGTGTGGCTGTAGTTCACAACAGTGTGTCTCCCATTTAATATGGAGATGAACAGAAATCTCTGAGGGTTGTTAAACTTTGTAATTCTGTACCCCGGAGAACAGTGGTGGCTGGACATTGGATATATTCAAGGCTGACTTAGACAGAATTTTAGTCTACAAAAGAGTCAAGGATGTTGGGGCAGGCAGGGAAGTGGAGTTGAGGCCACAATCAGATCAGCAATGAATTTGGATGAAGCAGACTTGAAACAGCAAATGGTCTACATCTTCCATTTACTATGTTCTTCCTTTTGATGTAATTTTTGAAAAAAATGACATGCACTTTTATAGAATGTTTTGTGTCCACTAGACATCTCAAAGTTCTTTACAGCCAATAAATTACTTTGAAGTGTAATCATTTATAATGTAGAAAACGTGTCCAAATTGTGCACAGCAAGATCCCACAGCAGCAATGTTATAATAGCCAGATAATCTGTTTTTGTGATGTTGATTGAGGAATGAATTGACCAAGACACTGAGGATACCCTTTGCTCTTCATCAAAATAGTGCCATAGGATCAGATGATAAGAAATAGGAACAGGAGCAGGCTGTTGGGCCATTCAGTAGGATCATGGCTGGTTCAACACTCATTGCTTGCACCTTCCTGCTCTTTTACCACATTCCTTGATTCCCCAACTGATCAAGAATCTATTTATCCTGGCCTTAAATATACACAAGGACTGTGCCCCCACATCTCTCTGGCAAGAATAAATTCTCATTTTTAAATTGGCGTCACTTTATTGTGAGACTATGCCCTCCAGTCTTAGATTCTCCCAGAAGGGAAAACATCATCTCAGCATTTACCCTGTCAAGCCCCTTAAGAACCCCACACACGTCATGAGATAACCTTTTATTTAACCTGCGATGAATAGAGTCCAACCTGATTAATCTTTGCTCATAAGACAATCCATCCATACCCGGGATCATCTTTTATGTTTTTCTGAGAGCTAACAGTATCTTGTTTAATTTCGAGTCAAAGAGCTGTATAGCATGGATGAAAGGCGGTACCTCCCCCAGTGTAGTGCATCTTCAGTACTGCATTGGAGCATCAGTTTTGATTTACTTTCCACTCCAGGGCTGGACCTCAACTTACATCCAGAATTCTGTGATATGGGGCAAGTGTGCTTCTAACTGAGCCACAGCTGACATTATCACTAGCTTCACGGTTCTTAACTTCCTGCAACTTTGATCTGGTGAACAAAATGTGAAGCTCAAACAATAGGAACCGCTTGTCAATGTGCCATTTTTATAGTATTACTGAAAGATCTACAATGGCATTACTCTCAGGGAGCCATACAATATAGTGGTTTATTGTTAAATTACATTCTCCAATATAATCCGAGACTGTAATCCGATAAAGTAGAGGTGAGAGCACTTAATATAGAAAAGTAATGCAGTGTACTAACATGTTTACAACCAGAGGAACATTATAGCAAGACATGCAGACTACCTGTGTGGCCCCATCTAAACTTAACTGCCCATCTTAATCCAACTTTCTAGCACCTGGCACATAGCCTTGCAGGTTACAGCACTTCACATGCAGATCCAGGTGCCTTTTCAATGAGTGAAGGCCTTCTGACTCTGCCACTAAATAGGGCAGTGAATCTCTTGTGTTTTCGAGGCGGCAAGAGGTGTAGGCTGTGGCAGCACAGCAGTGTGGGCCATGTGATGGAGTGTTAAATCCTGAAAGGCTGCAGGGAAGGAGGGTGGTGGTGGAGAAGGATTGGGTTCTGGCTGCAGGAGATTATGTCAAGACCCAAAGGCAGAGGGTTTATTGAGTCATAGTGGCAAGCGGGTGGGGTGTGATGATGTGAGAACGGGGTTCGGGGGGGGGTTCTGGCAACATGGGAGGCTATGTCTTCAAGACCTGGGGTAGATGGGTGGAGGGAGGAAGGATATTGGGCCTCAGGGCAGGTGAAGATGTCAAGGCCTGGAGAAAGGAGAGATGGTTGGTTGTTCCAAGGTGTTGTGGAGAGACGGGAACTGTATAAGTGGCTGCGGGTGGTTTAGTTGCGTGTGTGTGTGTGGGGTAATTTGGAGGCTCTTTCCTGGGCATTTCCTTCAATGTTTGCTATGACTGGGTGTCCTGCACTGTCCCACAGCACAAATGCCATCTGTGCTACAGAAATGACTATATAGCCATTGAAAAACCTGGGCCCATGTATCTCCAGCTCCTGTCAATTGACTGTGCAACTGTTTGTAATGTGCAGGTGGATAATGGTGTCTCTTTTTTCCACTGGGATCATAGATTCCATTCTGATAAAGATGCTGCCAGCTTGCTGAATTCTTCATCGATTGATTCAAATTGCACATGCACCAATCAGGTGAAAATGGGGCACAGGGACTTGCATATAAATGTTCTTTTGCCAAAAATGTGATAGCAAGTGAATGGTGATAGACCATCTGCACTAGCTGTACCACTTCTTTTATACTCTAGTATTTCTATAGAACAGCTCATGTTGAGTCAGAACTTGTGGTACTGTAATAGTGGTGTGAGGAGATGCTAGGAGATCATGGTTCTGCTCAAGTACAACAAGTATTTTAATTGCTTTTTAGAAAATAAATGGGCAATTTGCAAATACGCAGTCCATGAGGGATAAATAAATCTGTTTTATAAACAGTAAGTATTGTACTGTGGGAATCACTTACAGAGGTGTAGTTGTTAACCTTCTTCAGCTAGCACAGTGATAGGTCTGAATAATATTAACTCAAATCCCAGATATTGCAGAGTTAAAGTTCTCAAGTTAATAAAAATACAGAAATGACACACACGATTTCTGAACAATTTTCCCGGTGCTTTTGTAACAGCTGGCAAGTTGGGTTATGCTTGCAGACTGAACAAAGATGTTTCATAAACCATCTGTGTTTGGTGTCTGTCTTGTCAAGGAGACTGCAATACTAAATAATGTGGCTGAAAGAAGTACAAATAGCTTGCTGTTTCATCCAAATGGAATATTTCGGGCCCCAGAGGGAGAAGGTAAAAGGGCAGCTGTTTTACCTGCACCTGCCTGGAAAGGCTGTTGGCATGATTGGGAAGTGGACCAGAGAGTTGTAGGGGAACATTCTCTTCAGAATGCTTTAAGAGCAGGAATTGTGAAGATGTGTTTGCAAGAAAACAATCCACTGAACATGGAGGCTGGTGGACTAGGAGGTGAAGACAAAGGGAGCCCTATCATAGATCTGCGTGGGAGGGGAAGTGTTGAGAGTGGAAGTGCAGGAAATGGAACAGTCATGACCACTGTTAGTCTCAGTGAAAGGGACACCTTGGTTGAAGAAAAAGGAATGTAATGGAAGCAAGTGAAGTCCCTCAAGTCCTGAAGATCTTGAACCCAGAGATTCTAGCACAGAGGTACAGATGTACCACTGTACCATTATGATTGAACAATGATAGCACTATCTGGCAGCAATGCCAATGCATTCAGCATTCATGCTCATCAAATTTCTCCTGTAGGCTCCTCGAACAAAATATGAGCACCCTTCAGTAAAGCTGGTCTCTGACCTTGCCCTCTGGTGAATTGGCAGATATACTCTGCTTTCCTCCTGGCCTGACTGCTGCCTAATCATACCCAGTTTCTTTACCACATGTCAATAGTGACCCTATGCAACCCTTTACAATTTATGTGACACCAGTATCTGAGCTGGTAGCTGAGTGTGCCAGGTAAAGTCATGCGCTGTCCATGGCTGAGCAGGTGGCTGTTCTTGGCTATCAGAAGGGAAAGGCTGGTGTGAGAGAAGCAGATGAGTTGGAAAACAAAAGGTCATACCATCTGCAGATTTCCAGAGAGCAGGATGAAATGGGAGTTGAGAAGTTGTATACTGTCATCTAAAATACTCCAGGTGATGCTGGAAACAATGGATTCTGTTACTGCTGAAGGCATAACATGGAGTACCATCTCTCTGTCAGGGCTCAGCGGTTGTAGGTTTACATATTCCCTGCTGTTTCTGCTGCATTTCTTTGTTTCATGGCACTTTGTTCAGCAAGACAGAGAACCACTGAACGTTTGTAGCACAGAAAGAGATCACTTTATGTCTGCACTGGCAGCGGATTTGTTCTGCTTGAATCATGTATCTGCTCTGGATGTATCATTGGAGGATTGTGGAGGTGGTGGGCGTGAGACTGGCATTGGTAGGTATGGCAGCTGATGGATGAGCGCTGGGGATGTTATTCATCAAGCAGTGGAGGTTGAGGGCGTTGGAGGTAGGAGGGATCATTTAAAGATAGCTCCCTGATCTTGACCACCTGCATCAGCTCATTGAAACTTGTTGCGTTATTGTTGACAGGTCCTTGGCACCAGACCCTGGAAACGACCTGTCCCTGCAATTTGCTCTCATTCCCTTTGGAAGTAGTTCCTTGAAGGCTTCCTCACAGTCCTTCCTCCTGCATCATGGCCTCTTCCCTCCCAGTGCGCTGCAGTTCTAAAAGCCCCGGTATAGACTGTGGACTGGGTGACCTCTTCCCTGCCCTACAGCTCCATCTCCTTCATTCACAATCGCCCTTTCTCATTCCGGTCGGGTGAGCTGATCTCTCACTGAAGGCTGCAGTAAGGGGGAGGTGGGCGTGAAGTAACAGTAATAGAGCGGTGAACAGTCTGCCCGGATTGGAGTACACGTGGGGACGGGGGTGGGGGGTGAGAACGGTTAGTCCTTCGTCTGAAAACGTGTGCAGATCAATTTTCAGACTAGAGCTCTTGCACTTAGACAAATAAACGAAACATAGAGGAATGCAATTTCGTTGTTCTGTCAGTCAATTCCTAAACGTCAAATGAATGAAAGGAGATGCCTTAAAAAAAACCGTTTGTGATTGCGATTTTTAACGACGCGAACCTCTTGGAATGTATTGTGGTTTCTTCCGTTTTGTAAACCCAATGTGTACGGATCACTCCAGATCTCTTTAATTCATTTCGTTTTGCTTTGCATTTTAGCAAAGTTGCTGCTTTGATTCTTATCCCCTTGCAACGGATTGCTTTATTTTGCTGTAATCCGTGTGATGAATTCGAAGCGCGAGGTTTTTAATTAGATCGTGTCTGGGGCAGAGAGAGATAGAGGGGGTGGGGAGGAGGAGGGCAGTAACAGAGTGGTGCCGGCGACGGCCTTGTGTGTGTTCTGTTAGAGTGGAGTTGGTCACGGAATGATGTTCGGGCTGTGTATCCATCCCGTATGGACTCGGACATTGATCAGGAGGTGGCTTCACCAGGAGATGCTGCTCTGGCTATTCCTCAAGCTGCTGGCTCTGGGGACTGTAGTGGCGTTGTTCTGTGAGCTGGGCATTTACTATGCGGTGATCTTCAGATGTGACTGGCCTCCCCTTAAAGCACAAGCAGAACCGCAAGGATCCTCCGAACCAGTGCTGAAGGCTTTGTTCCTGGCTGATACACATCTCCTGGGAGCTCTGAGAGGACACTGGCTCGACAAACTGAGAAGGTAAGGCACACACACACGCAGATTGAAATCAAACGTGCCAAATATCAAAAGCTGGCCAGGGAGGAACAAAAGTTCAGACCGTGGCTTTTGAATGCCCTTTGCTGAAGTTGAGCATTCCAATGGCCAGAAATATATGTGGCTTGAATCCTCATGAACAAGCTGTAGACCAAAAACAGAAAAAGCCAGACCTGGTGAGCTTTTCCAACAAATTCTGGTTTTGTTGTATAAACACATTGATTATTGGTCACACTGTATTCCCTCACAGCACGTAGGGGATAGGTTTTCACTAGTAACATTAATGCATCCTGGTCAGAGTCTTCTTAACCAGTGCAAGATTAGGAGACCTTATTTGCAAGTTACTTACACCCAAGACTACTTGCAGCCTGATTCCTACCATCTGGTAGAGCTGGCCATATCCTTGGGCTCACCTTGTGGGTTTACCCTGGTTCAGAAAAGTGTTTGCATTGCGCCCATTTTGAGAGATACACAGGAAGTAGTCGGCACATTTTGGAATTCATTTCATTTCAAAAAAGTATTTGGTTTATTCAGAAACTGACCATAAAGGAGCACCTCTATAACATTGCTCAACTTTGCATCTGTCTCATCACATCTGGTTCAGAAACTGCCTTTAGACTCGACAGTGCCAACTGGTTGGTTGGTTCCTTAATCGATGCTGCATAAACTTGAGGTCAATCAAAACTCTGCCAATGTCCTAACTCCCAGCAAGCTCCATTCCCTTGCCATTCACGCTAATTTAAATGCTGACCTACACTGGCTCCTGATCAACAACTGTTTGATTTTGAAAAATCTCATCTTGTTTTATTAATCTATGTTAACAGTTCCACCAAACACCCCACCCTCAATCAAGGTTAATTGGGGAAAAAAGTCATACCTTGCATCACTAATGTGATTGTTGGGCGTGGACAAGGCATTGCATTTCACATTCATCAGTTCAGGGTTTAGCAGCTTTGATGTTGGCACCACCCCAGAGGGCACTGCTAAAAGATCGTTCGTGTAATGAGCTGGCAACAACACTGAGTGCTGTAGGCACCTGATGCTCCTCCACAGTGATGCCTTCACAGCTCACACAGTGTGGATCTCCGCACAGATCAGTCATTTAAATGCATTACTGATATTTCGTGACTATCCTATCACTATAAATAGCTTGCAGGAGATGTATGGGGGTAACTTATATCAGAAGCACCCTGTATCCTAGAGGAAAGCTAACATATTTTGACCAGGTACTGGATAAGATTTGAAACCCAGTTAATAGTACTTGCAGGCAAAGACCTACTTCCAGTGCTCCTGGTGTTGTACTTTGAAAAGCAACTTACATAATAAGAAATGCCTGCACTCTGCCAGTTATTTCAGATGGAAAGCCTTGCATTTATAATGTGCCTTTCACAACCTCAGGGCACAAGCACTGTACAGCTGATTAATTACTTCTGAAGTGCAGTAGCTGTCGTAACTGATAATGACCAGATTATCTGTTTTTTGTAGTGATGTTGATTGAGGGATAAATATTGGCTGGGACACCCCTGCTGTTCTGCAAAACACCACCATGGGATTTTTTACATACAGCCAAGAGAGCAGGAAGGGGTCGGTGATGCATCCCTCAGTACTGCACTGGAGAGTGTTATGGTGAGGGGTGTGAATTTTTGAACATTTAACATGATCCTGCACACAGAATCTATCAGGCCAACTTGTGTTTCCCACTGTCTTAGGGCATGCCAGCGTGCTATACTGTTGGAGCGGCTGCTTGTGAGGAAAGTTACTACCACCATCCTGTTTAAATATAGCAAACTATGGGGCCTGCTTGGTCCAGTGTACTGCAGTAAACCACTTTTAAAGAAAGAAGTATCTCCCAAATCTCCTGTAGTTAACAAGACTTATTGCATGTTAACCGCTAGTTACAGACAACGTTAGACATTGTACCAGAGACTTCACGAGATCTCACCCATGTGAGATCCTGAACTATGCTTCTGACAGGTCCATACAACATCACCATAGTGGGTGTTACTAAAAACAGTCCTCAGTATTAACCCTTTCAGACACCTACAACATGAGACCTTTGACCTCAGCTGTTTCGAGCCTGCTAACTCTCCATTTTTTTTTGCTGGTATGCAGTCAATTGTTTACCTTTTTTATTAACCTATTTTTCTAATCAACCTGTCCAGAGTTGGTGTTATACACCACTGGAGCAGGTGGGACTTGAACCGGGGCCTCTTGGCAGAGGGTTGGGTCACTACCACTGAGCCACACGAGGGCCCCTCATTTTTACATAGTGTCATAGAGATGTACAGCATGGAAACAGACCCTTCAGTCCAACTCGTCCATGCCAACGAGATATCCCAAATTAATCTCATCCCATTTGCCAGCATTTGGCCCATATCCTTCTAAACCCTTTCTATTTGTATACCCATCCAGCTGCCTTTTAAATTGTCATTGTACCGGCCTCCATCACTTCCCTTTGCAGTTCATTCCATACATGCACCACCCTCTGTGTGAAGAAGTTTCCCCTTGGGTCCCTTTTAAGTCTTTCCCCTCTCACCTTAAACCTATGCATCCAGTTTTGGACTCCGCTACCCTGGGGGAAAGACCTTGACTATTTACCCTATCCATGTCCCTCATGATATTATAAACTTGTATAAGGGACCCCCTCAGCCTCCAACACTCCAGGGAAAACAGCCCCAGCCTATTCAGCCTCTCCCTGTACCTTTAAGAAATAAACAGGCAGCATTTAAAAAAAAATCCTACAATGTAGCATATCCTGATTTCAAAACTGTAATAGTTATGTCATGATCAAGAACAAAATTTACAGCAGCCTCACCACGCCAGTGACCTGGGTTCAACTCCACCCTCAGGTGACTGTCAGTGTGGAGTTTGCACATTCTCCCGTGTCTGCGTGGATTTCCTCCCACAGTCCAAAAATATGGACATCAGGTAGATTGGCCATGCTAAATTGCCCATAGTGTTCAGGGATGTACAGGTTAGGTAGATTAGCCATGGAAACTCAGGGTTACAGTGATAAGGTAGAAGTGTAAGTTTGGGTGGGATGTTCTTCAGAGGGCCAGGGTGGACTCGATGGGCTGAATGGCCTGCTTCCACATTGTTGGGGTTCTATCTATTCAATGAACATTTACTAGTGTGCTCTTAGCATTGCAGCAAATTGTCAATATGAGTTCTGATCACAATGTAATCATGCCAGGTGGAAAATTAAACAAATGTTGTCCAACACAAAAATGCAGGAGGTGATGAAATGCAAACAGCAAACATACCAGCATTTGGAAAATCAAAAGTAAGACTAATATTTTCGTGTAAACCTTCTCCTCAGAATTTCCTGTAAATTCACAGTTGGTTTTTCTGTTCACATCCAGTCATGCAAGTTAAGCAATTTTGACTCAACACTAAAACTGCTACAAAACATCAAAGCAACTGTTGAAATCACATGGTCAAAACTCGAAGTGAATCTGCAGCCTAAAGATCAGTCATTTGTGAAATATATAAAAAGACTAAATAAAATTGGTATCATGCAAAAAGGAAATTCAGTAATTACCCTTGCCTTTTAATAGCAGTGGTAATCTCAAGATTAATCCTATTTAAATATTGTACTCAGGAGAGAATTAAGTTGAATTCCTTGCTGGTAGAGTTGAATTTCTGAGAGGTTCTGGAGTGGCAATAGGCTCTAAGTTTTCCTTCAATTCATCAGTCCCAATTAACATCCCCTATTCTGCACATCGCAGAGCACTTAAAGAGCTTGACCTACTTTAAGGTTCAGTGGCTGCTGTTATGTAGGGATGTGAAGAGAAGTTACAACTTTGTAACATTTCTTGCACGATGCTGCAAGCAATAATGCTGGAAACTTGTGCTGTTCATCTCCAGGGAATGGCAAATGGAGCGTGCTTTTCAGACTGCCTCGTGGTTTTTTGAACCAGATGTTGTGTTCGTTCTTGGTGACCTGTTCGACGAGGGGAAATGGAGCTCACCAGAGGTACTGTGTTCTGGGTCATACCGGCATTTACTTTTCATTAAATGCCTGAGATATGCACAAAAAGAAATGTTTTTATCAAACCATGGTGCACTGAAAGCAATACAAGTCAGTATATGCTTCTGTGGAATGTTATGCTGAGAATAACAACCTGTTTACAGCGTGCCCCCCTCCTTACTGGTGCTGTCAGCAGGGCGTGTACCTTTTGTGGCTTGAGAGAAACGTTGGCCCCATGCTGATACTCTGTTTAGTAAAACGGCGTGAATACCCTGTTAACAAATCATTAAATAAAAACCAAAAGACCTGCGAATGCTGTAAATCTGAAACAAAATCAGAGATGGCTGGAAAAGCTCAGCACATCTGGCAGTATCTGTGGAGAGAAATCAGAGTTAATGTTTCCAGCCGTGTGACCCTTCCTCAGAACTAAGTTTGAGTTCTGAGGAAGGGTCACTGGACCCGAAAGGTTAACTCTGCTTTCTCTCCTCAGATACTGCCAGACCTGCTGAGCTTTTCCAGCAATGTCTGTTTTTGTAACAAATCATTGTATCATCTCTTTTAGAGTGTTAGGTCATACATTGTATGACCTTCAGTCCAACTTGTCCATGCCAACCAGACATCCTAAATTAATCTAGTCCCATTTGCCAGCATTTGGCCCATTTCCCTCCAAACCTATTCATGTACCCATCCAGATGCCTTTTAAATGTTGTAATTGTACCAGCCTCCACCACTTCCTCAGGCAGCTCATTCCATACATGCATCACCGCCTGTGTGAAAAGGTTGCCCCTGATGTCCCTTTTATATCTTTCCCCTCTCAACCTTAAACCTATGCACTCTAGTTTTGGATTCCCCTACCCCGGGGAAAAGACCTTGGCCATTCAGCCTATCCATGCCCCTCTCCTCAGAGGGAGGTACCTGGTATCTGACACATGCCCTCCGTTGCATACAGTTGTGTTAAAAATTTGGTACTCTTAGCTATGGTGTGACCCAAGTATTTTAATTCACTGTAATGCTTTATCACATTCTTTACACACTTCTTCAGTGTCTTCTGTCATTCAAGTCAACAATCTTATCTTCCCTGAGAGACTAGACCTTATCTTGGTTTATATCGATGTTATTAAGCAGGTTAAGAGAGGATTAGCAGGAACAGGCTCCAGGTAAGGTACAGGGCTGGATGAACACAGCAGGCCAAGCAGCATCATAGGAGCAGAGAGGCTGACGTTTCGGGCCTAGACCCTTCATCAGAAAAGGGGGAGGGGAAGGGGGTTCTGAAATAAATAGGGAGAGAGTGGGAGGCGGATAGAAGATGGATAGAGGAGAGGATAGGTGGAGAGGAAACAAACAGTTCGAAGAGGCGGGGATAGAGCCAGTAAAGGTGAGTGTAGGTGGGGAGTTAGGGAGGGGATAGGTCAGTCCAGGGAGGACAGACAGGTCAAGGGGGCGGGATGAGGTTAGTCGGTAGGAGATGGAGGTGCGGCTTGAGGTGGGAGGAGGGGATAGGTGGGAGGAAGAACAGGTTAGGGAGGCAGGGACGAGCTGGACTGGTTTTGGGATGCGGTAGGGGGAGGGGAGATTTTGAAACTTGTGAAATCCACATTGATACCATTGGGCTGCAGGGTTCCCAAGCGGAATATGAGTTGCTGTTCCCAACACCTCATCTTTACCATGGACGTCCAGTCCCTCTACACCTGCATTCCCCATGCAGATGGCCTTAAGGCCCTCCGCTTCTTCCTGTCCCGCAGGCCCGACCAGTCCCCCTCCACTGACACCCTCATCCGCTTAGCAGAACTCGTCCTCACCCTCAACAACTTCTCTTTCAATTCCTCCCACTTCCTACAGACAAAGGGGGTGGCCATGGGTACCCGCATGGGCCCAAGCTACGCCTGCCTCTTTGTAGGTTACGTGGAACAATCCCTCTTCCGTACCTACACTGGCCCTAAACCCCACCTCTTCCTCCGTTACATTGATGACTGTATCGGCGCCGCCTCGTGCTCCCACGAGGAGCTCGAACAGTTCATCCACTTCACTAACACCTTCCACCCCAACCTTAAGTTTACCTGGACCATCTCTAACACCTCTCTCCCCTTCCTGGACCTCTCGATCTCCATATCGGGCAACCACCTAGAAACCGATATTCATTTCAAGCCCACTGACTCCCACAGCTGCCGAGAATACTCCTCCTCCCACCCACCTTCCTGCAAAAATGCTATCCCCTATTCCCAATTCCTTCGCCTCCGCCGCATCTGCTCCCAGGATGAGGCATTCCACTCCCATACATCTCAGTTGTCCTCGTTTTTCAAGGACCGTAACTTCCCCCCCTCAGTGGTCGAGAACACCCTCAACCGTGTCTCCCACATCTCCCGCACCTCATCCCTCACACCCCGTCCACGCAATAAGAACCAAAAAAGAATCCCCCTCGTCCTCATGTACCACCCCACCAACCTCCGGATCCAACGCATCATCCTCCGACACTTCCGCCATCTGCAATCCGACCCCACCACCAAAGACATCTTTCCCTCCCCACCCTTATCTGCTTTCCGGAGGGACCACTCTCTCCGTGACTCCCTTGTCCGCTCCACACTCCCCTCC